CGTATAAAGTACTAATTTATATCATAAGAATTGTTAAGGAAATTATAAAGTGTATCTTCGGGTTACATTTAGTCTTTATTTCATTAAAATCAGTTCATTCCATCAAAAGTTATGATAAATATTCTGAAGTATGGGTAGGGAAGTATAGGTACGAATTTGCTCAACGGTGGCTTTGTTTGAGTCATCAAGTGCATTTTAAACTAATATCATATCATAAATCATAGTTAAATTATGTAAAATAATGATATAATTATGTATATCTAAAACGCAGTAAACAAAAGTAATAAAGAACGTATTAAATATATTATACAAAAATATATTAATTAACGTTATTAACTAAATCTGAAGCATAATAGTTAACCCATTTCTTCGATAGATGGTGGTGTTGTGAAAATGCAATGCAATTGCAAATGTTGCAATTTTCCTGTAGATAGAGTTTTCATATTTACTGCTAATCTTTATTATATTACTCGCTGCCCTACTGCGTGTTGACAAACTCAATTTATTCTTTACCGCCGAGTACTCTATGTAATAAATCAAATTTTAAAAGAGCTATTAACAATTGCATTGGTTTTGGCGAGAGTCAAACTTTATTTTTTGCTTACTGTTCAGGCACTGATTTATAAGTTCTCTTACGTTTTATATAATGTATCAATCGCGTCAATTAATCTCTTTTATTTTTAGAATTGATGATGTTAGCAGCGCCATCTCTCTTTAAATATATACATATAATAAAAATGATGATAACCTGTTGTGTCTCTTTCTGTACATTGTATATATATTTTGGTGGCTAAAATCATTACGATGAACTGAAAATAATTAAATAAGAACATTTTATAATTTTTAGAATTGCCTGTCTGTCTATTTGTCTGTTATTATATGAACGCATCACGTCTAAAGTAAACATCTTTTATTTTCAAAGAAATCGTTAAGAATATCATAAAGCGTATCTTCGAGTTACATTTAATCTTTGTTTTATTAAAATTGCTTAATTCTATCGAAAGTAATGATTATTATTTTGAAATGTAGGTTCGAATTTGTTCAATGGCGCCATAAAATCTCAGAAATAGTAATAAAAAGATTTCTGTGTAAAAAAAAACGTTCCATAATAATTAATATATTTATACTTAAAACACAAAAAGAGATAGGATGTTTTCTCACACAAAGGACGTAATAGATGGAGTTGTACAAATTACAAACTTTTCTGAATTGCGGTGTTGAGATTTTTCGCCGATGTATCGTATCGTAGATGACGCCTTGACACATATGAGTATTGGTATTGTATAGTTTGTAATATGTAGTATATTGTAATTTGTAATGTATAGCCAATATTATTTGTAAATTATGTTTCTTTTTTATGTTATCTGTGATGGCGTCATTTTGGAGAATAAACCTTTCTTTCTTTCTTTCTCTCTTTCTATTGAGACTTACTGAAGAAATTTGTATCCATCGAAGCCATACAACGGAACCCGACCAAAAATAAAAATTTCGCAACGAAATGTCGTGATATTGTATTTATAATATACGCAAAATCAGAACTGCCATTTTAGCGCTTTGGGAACTAGATTTAGCACTTTTTGGAATGTATAGCGCGCATTTCGAAATTTTAGCACCTAGCGCTTAATGCGCAGGATTAAGCGCTAGGTGCTAAAATTTTAGCACTTTTTGGAATGTATAGCACACATTTCAATATTTTAGCGACTAGCGGGTTATTAACTCTTTTATAGCAGCACTGTTAGTCCACATTACCGATAATAATAATAATGACCTTTATTATTTTTTCCCACAAATAGTACATTGCAGTTTATCTTTTTCAAACATATTTTTTCCACAAAACAAAGAGCATGGGATACCCTGTGCTATGGATCTCCTGGCTTCCCCTTTAGGATGATCAACTTGATTTTTTTACCGACGACTATAAGCGGGGAAATCCCCTTTATTAAAGTTTTCGTTCATGGTTTTGGCAACGCATTTATTTTGCTTTATTCAGTTTCAGTCAGTTGCTTAGAGCACAGCTAAGTTAAAAGTTACTTAGAAGTTATAACACAAAGAAACTGTGTAGCAACCGCAATCAGATGCTGACATCTGAAACTAAGTTGCGAAATACATTGCACTTTAAAACAATTAATGACATTTTTATTGTTCGTACAGTACTAACTACTGTTGACAGCAATTGCTATAATTATAAGTCGATGTCCTGCGAAGTATTGATACATCAAAAAAATATTGCCAGAAAAAATACTTAATGTTGTTTTCTTTATTATGATTATATAAAAATACACAAACTTTGTTTGTAGTTAATTTAGCGCGAAATCTAGGGCTTTTTTAAAGCGCTGTTTTTTTGAAATCTAGCGCTTTTTGTGTTGTCCTAGAGCTGAATGAGTTTTTTTTTATCTGGCAGCACTGCCCAAAAACCCTCTATTAAGAAGTAACTTTCCTTTCAGTTTTAAGCGCGTTCAGTTCCCAGTTACAGTGAGTTTATGTTATGCGATGACCGTAAATAAAGCGCAAGGTCAAACTTTACGCGTTGTAGGAGTGTACCTCAGTACTGACTGTTTTGCACATGGCCAACTCTATGTTGCTTTTTCCCGCATTAGTAGCCCCCGTAACCTTTTTGTGTACACCCCGGCTAAGCCTACTTCTAACGTCGTTTACACAGAAGCTCTATCATAAACGACTTAGAACTTTGATGATAATGATTTATTTTGTTACCACTTATTGATACAGTAATGAAATAAATCGTTTAATATTCTCTTACCTAAACGACAAATTCTTTATGTAAAACCTGTATACGCGAGCTACGCCGCGGGCACAGCTAGTTATTAAATATAAATCAAAATATTACAATTTAAACTCAACTAAAATGATATTAATTTGGATGAAATTTGGTGCTCAGCCCATATCCAGGATTAACACAAGATAATGGAAATAAAAAAAAATTGCCTAATCCTTTGATTTAACACATAAGTACTTTTCAAATATTGATACATCCGTTTTCAAGTATTGATTCTTATCAGGAATACTATTGATTGATATTGATCAATATACATTTTTAGCAAAGTTTATTAAATATAAATCAATGTACTTTTTTGAATATTACAATTTAAACTTAACTAAAATGAAATTAATTTGGATGAAATTTGGTGCTCAGCCCATATCCAGGATTAACACAAGATACTCTTCATCCAGGAAAAACGGAAAACCATTTTACGTGTCTTAAATGGTAAACTTGTCTATTCGAAACCATTGAGCTATTGTGTACTATGTACGTACGTAAGTACATTGAGTACATATTACTTCTATGTTCGAAACTTTGGATTTTAACTACTACAGAAAAATCACAGATGACATGCTTAGCTCCATGCTACAGTGGTCCACCCATAATGTAGATTTTATTCTCTTAACCTACTATGACCAGCACAGTAAGTTCAATTGGGTACTGCTATATAAAGGTACTCTGTGGTACTGCTGGACATGGCCTAGTTCTTCTGGAATGGGCCAGGCCATGTCCAGCAGTGGATTTGATACGGCAGAAATAATGATGATGATACTTACTCCATGAACATCATTATAATGTAAACCACAACCGTATATATCGCAAAGTAAAAGGTAAAAGTAAAAGCACAAATGAAACGACCGGGTCGTAAAAAACTGTTACTATGGAAATTGGAAAGTCGGAGGATAGGGTTACCAACTCTCGAAAGGACTAATCCGGGACAATTTTATGAAATCGAGTAGGGGCGGGGGGGGGGGGGGGGGGGGTGTGAAAGAAAATCTCAATTATTTATTAATTGAGATTTTCTTTCACACCCCCCGCACGGTGATGTGTGAGATTAACCATTATTACCGGAGTCTCCCGGGCAATCCAGGAGGTTTGGGAACCTAGCGGAGGAACTAAATGCTCAACACATAATAACTTCGGAAAGTTCACACCAAAGAGTATAGTAATTGTCTTATAGAGGAAGTTTTCGGAATCCGTTTCGGAATCCCGAATCGGAATTTCGTGAATACATCACACACATATACGTTTATTTCCGTTCGGAATAACAAGGCTCAGTTGAGATTGAGAGACGTTAGCCATTGAGTGTAGACATTCTGTCAGCGAACAATGACGACGATTTTCTGATTGCGATTCCATTGTTGCTGTATCACTGATACTGGGTGCATCCCCTTATCACCCTAAGCTTGCAATATGGTCAATATTATGTAAAAAGATATATCTATCCAGAGGTATTTTTTTAAATATGGATGTTTTTAAAATATGAGCAGTAAATCCTTTCGACGAATTATTAAACAAAATAAGATGAACTAACAAGCGCGTACGCAAGAAACAGACCATAGATAAATAGATAGAAGCACAGAATACTTTACTCCTAGCGGAGAGATAGAAGCCACGGAATATAAAAAACAAGTTGTTGTTTTTTTATATTCCATGAAAGAAGCAGACCCAATGTCTTAAAGGAATGTATGTCCAATATATTAATTTTCTCTATGGGTGCTAGAAATCGAAATTATTGTGCAGTTTTTGCAATTTAAACAATATTTTAAAGTAATTCTATACGTGTTGCTTATTTTAAATGAAATATTTAGCTCTATTTACCTCGGTGTCATAAATAATTATGTTTTATCGATAATATTGTCATGTGAAAAAGTAGTCTGGGGCTGTGACCTACGATGGCGATGTCGCATTTGCATCGCACCCCTTGTGTATTGTTCTCAATCATACATAAATAAATATGTAGCAAACTATTCTCAATGATGGTTCCTTTCCTTGTCTACATTTTCATTGGATAATATTTTCAGTGGACTGAAGGGGAGTGTTCATACTTCATACGCATTATATAAAGTTACTCTGTGCGCATTACGCAGCAGACATGCGTAAGCATCATATTAGTCTGTGGGACAGACGTTCCCCTCTGTCAAGGCACAAGTCCACGCGGTCTTAAAATAAAACTAGTTGCAGCCGCACTATTCACTAGACTAAATCGAGCGCAAAAAAAATGCCGAATTGTTCAGTTTTTTGCTGCAAAAAGAGATCAAACACGTCAAGTTTAGAAAAAGATGGGGTTACCTTTCATATGTAAGTAATTTTAATCACATTATTACTATTTTACTTCTTTTAAATTTAAAAATCACAATAATAACGATTGTGTTATTATTGATATTGTGCCGCTCGCCCTATTGATAAATAAATATGTAGATAGTAGATACAATATGAGGATCGATCGATAGTGATTCGAGTATTCGAGTGATCGAATCTGTAATGTGTATCCGTATCCGATACATATTTATTTATCTATGGTATTCGAGTTGTCGCTGATCGCTGTTACCGAGCGATAGGTAGTTTGGTTACCGGTGTGTAAATATAGATAGTTATCGATAAAAATATCAAAGGCAAATAGATAACTCACTATAGTGTATACAGCCATGTCTCTCCTGCATCGTATGATCATTTTTGAGATAATATTTTCTGTTTAACATACATACATACGTGTTTCTATATAGTTTGTGATACATACATATAATTACGCCTTTTTCCCGTAGGGGTAGGCAGAGACCACTTCTTTCCACTTGCTACGATCCTTACATACTTGTTTCGCATCGTCCACTTTCATTTTCAGATTAATATCTAATCTAATATATTAATATAATAGATCCCTTTTCTATTTTAATATAGTTTAATATGAAAATTGCATTCAATTAAATATAATGCAATACTTTTACCGTTACCGTTACAGACTAAAGCCATAGATAGCCTTATAGGAGGGATATTTGCTATAGTTGCAATACTTGGCAAGCGGGTTGGCAGTTTTTTTTATTTTTAGTCGTTATTAAGAGAACGCCGCTACCTATCTCCTGATTTGTTTACCTCTGTCGCCTCTTACGACACCCACAGGATGATATGGGGTAAAGATATTTTTAAACCGCCACTACAATAATACAATACTATTATTATTATAGTATTAATATATATATATATATATATATATATATATATATATATATATATATATATATATATATATATATATATATATATATATGTATTTTCTGTGAAACCGTAGTCCATTCCTGTCTTAACGTTGCTTTTCAAACGTTAAATATTTAATTACGTCAAGAACGATTTACCTGACGACAATTCTCGTGTCTCTTTCAGAACTATGTCGACCCAAGTACGAGTAAATGACTTCTACGGATTTAACATTTCTTTCCTTTCCTCCCATTACATATATATATATATATATATATATATATATATATATATATATATATATATATATAGTATTAAAATTACAAAGTGTGAACTCCGACCAATGGTTGTTTAATTATTTATTACAAAAGATATTGTATTACAAAAGATATAGGTTTCCTAAAGATCCAAATTTAAGAAATACCTGGAAGTACTTTTGTAATAACAAACTTACCTGGATTCCCACAAGAAACAGTGTCATTTGCTCAGATCATTTCAAGACCTCTGACTTTCAAGAATTGGCAAACAATAGAAGGAGATTAGTCGAGGGCGCCAAACCAACTCTAACACCACACTGTATTTGTGCCGTAAGTTTTCTTTAATATCATGAAGAAGTCAAACGAGCGTACAGTCAACCTGATGGTAAGTAAACTGTTGTGCATGGACATTTAAAATCTCAAGACCAATAAGCCATTTCAGATTGCAAATGCGTCGCCAACCATCAGAACTAAGATGTAATACCTCATGCCACCCAAAATGTTAGTTTTCTGTCGACTTCCAAAAAGAAGACGGTACTCAATTCGACGCGTATGTTTTTTTTTTATGTGTGTTACCTCATAACTTTTTACTGGATTGACCGATTTCGATGATTCTTTTTTTTTATATGAAAGCTGATACTTCTCGTATGGTCCCATATGAATTTGATCAAGGTCATACCAATAGTTTTTGAGTTATTTGAGTTATTCTTAATAACTTATAATGAAGTCGGCTGTACAAAATTTTTAATTTTAAATTATGTAGTATTAACTATACTACAAACTAATATTTTATCATAGCTGTAAAATGAAGCTCAGATTTTTCCACACAAAAATTATACAATGTTGAATTTATTTTTCCAGAGCCAGAGCCATCAATTATCATTTACTATAACTGATTCGTTGTTATCTACGTGTACAACATCAAGTCCCCAACATGTGAGTTTCATTTTAATAGTTTATTGTAGATAATATTTTTAATTAAAATAAATAGCTAGATACAAATTTATCATATAATAATTTCTACAATTTTACTATTGAGGTTGGGTTAGGTACAAACAAATTTACCTGGATTCCCACAAGAAACAGCGTCATTTGCTCAGATCATTTCAAGACCTCCGACTTTCAAGAGTCGGAAAACAGTAGAAGAAGATTGGTCGTGGGCGCCAAACCAACTCAACACCACACTGTATATGTGTCGTAAGTTTTTTTAATATCATGAAGAAGGCAAACGAGCGTACAGTCAACCTGATGGTAAGTAAGCTGTGGTCTATGGACATTTACAATCTCAAGACCAACAAACCACTTCAGATTGCAAATGCCTCGCCAACCATGAGAACTAAGATGTAATGCCTCATGCCACCCGTAAAATGTTAGTTTTGTAATATAGTTAGTCATAACTGTAAAATGAAGCTCAAATTTATCAACTTATAAAGTGTAATGTTAAATCTAATTTTCCAGAGCCAGAGCCATCAATTATCATTTACTATAACTGATTCATTGACATCTGCGTGTACAACATCAAGCCCTCAACATGTGAGGTTTCCTTTTAATAGTTTATTGTAGATAACATTTTTGATTAAAATAAATAGGTACATAATTTCTACTATTGAGATTGAGTAAGCTACATAGAAAGGTGATAACAGCGTAATATATTATATTTGTTTTTCAGGCTCAGTCAAAAGGAACATCTAAAAATTATAATTCGATTCCTATTGCACTTACACCCAGAGAAAGAAAAATGCAGCAAAAGCTAGATGACCAGAAGAAAAAAATTAAAAGGCTCCACTCTAAAAACCTTTACTTAAAGAAAAAAATTGCTGGGTTAAGAGAAATTCTCCTGAGTCTGGATGAAAAATCTTTTAATGATAAAAAAGAAAGGATGGTCATTGAAAAAAATCGCGTTGAAGAAATATAAATTATTAAGCGTCAACGAAAGAAATGTAAAAGTGAGAAGCTCACGAGCTAAGTATTCAGCAGAACAATTGATGAAAAAAGCTTAATACATCAAAAAAGTCGAGGATACTTTATGCTTTATGCTTCAAAAGAGGTACTAATTTTATGCCGGATTGATTTTACAAATCATAATTTGGTACGGGCAAGATTAATAATAAAGAAATATACTGATTCAAGAAGTTTGTTTCTTAAGACCGTGGTCCTTAAGCGTGGTAACTTGTTATAGAATACCCACATTCACATTTTTTAGTCACACCGACGCATCGCGCATTTTTAGTGTTACGCACCTTGGATATAAATAAATTACTTGCGGTGCTTTGCATAAGTTACATAATCATTACGCGTTCGTCTTCGTAGGATGGAAACACGCATTATATGTAGCCATTAGCTTGTCACATAGTGAAGTCCGCCGGCTCGTAGTAAATAGCCGGTAGCAAAGGGTGGGGTCACAGTGTAGGCTTTCTTGGTGTTATGTTAACTATTATGAAAAATGTGCGGTTAAAAAAAGTTTAATACAGATTAAAATAATCGTAGTGGTTTGAACAATTTATATTTTGGGTTTTCTGATAAAAACTGAAGACTAGATAACTTCAATATTTCCTATGATCACATACGGCGCTCTGGTATGATGGGCCAAAACGAATGATGTCACCACATAAAGAAACTTCAGCGTTACCAGAGACTAGCATATTTGGCTGCCACAGGCTGCATAAGGACTATACCACCAGCAACCTTAGAGGCTATGCTACAGGTAACCCCGCTTCACCTACATGTACAACAAGAAGCGCCTTTTGCAACCATTAGACTCAAGACCTTTGGAGTTGGAATAGGAGTCTCTCATACAGTTATAATCGATAGAATTTATATCAAAATTCTTATCTTACTAGCCAAGTATGATAACATTTTATTTTTATTTTGATTGCATCCTTATATTTCTTACCAAACCTTATATTTCTAACCTGTCGGATTAAACCCAAAAGAGCTTAGAATTTTCACGGATGGTCCTAAAATAAATGAAGGTGCAGGATCTGGAACTTTCTCAAAAGACTTCAACACTCTACTTGCTCGAATAATATATTAGGTATATATATTATCAAAAGGTAAGAATCAATAGTGTCTATCTCATAAAAGTTAACTTTACAGGAGATAAAAAAAATACCATTTTTCTACTTTGAGTAGAAAGATACTGGAAATGTTTATATGTATAAAAAGAAAAAAATGCTAAAATAAGATTGATATAATAACACTTGACTTAATATTAGGCTATTTAAAGTTAGCGTGAGTTAGGTGATATTGGTTCTATTCGTGTAAATAATTTCTGAATATGTTCCAGATAGCCGTTTCTAAAATAAAACAACGTAATGAAGAATCACTTTTTTTAAATAATTAATAATTATCACTATGCTACATTAAATGTTGCCTCTAAAATACCAAAAAAAGACTTCAAAATAACTAAAATAGATATTTAAAATTACTAAAACTGACATTTAAAATTGATTTTTAACACACTTTACAAATGGGGTAGTGTGTCATAAAAATTATGACACTAATTTGGCAGCACTTGTTTGTGTTCTTGAAGATGTTGATATTTTTATGCAGCTATGGGAATTATATTATTGTGTAAGGTCGAATACGACTCGTCGGAGTTTCTTTTCTGTCGTTTTGGCAAGGCAAACCAATCTTGGATAAAATGGAGTTTCAATTTAATAGTATCTTCTTGGTTATAAATAATAGCTCGTAAAGACAGTTACAGTAGGATCGCCTGCTTTGCGTCCTGGTCTTATAGTTTTGTACATCCAAGTAAATGTATCAGCATAATTTTTCACAAAACTATAGTTAAGGGGCTACTCCATGCGAACGACCTTGAGCATTTGCCGGCGGCGCGCCGCTCGCTTCAATATATTGCTATAAGACGCCACCTATGGTAGGTAAAAGAACGTAGTATTATTTTTTCAACATCAATAAACTAATTTATGGAAATACACACAGCGTACAACGATAAATGTATTTTAATTTTTTTATTCGGTATATTAGTTGCATTATATTAGAATTATGTATTTTCATATATTATCTAATTATGAAATTTTATAATTAATTATATATTAAAAATGAAGCATTGAAAATTGTGAGTTTAAAAGATACCTATTCACTATAGGTAAATAAATAGATAGCTCGCCTTTTGTACAAATATTTGGTGCAATAAAGAATAAATAAATAAATAGGATGTTTCGTAGATGTGTTTTTGATTATTGTTAATTTTTACGTGTCACGTATTGAAATGTAACATACCTACCTACAAATTTTTGAACTGAGCACCTTGTAACTTAGCCTGCTTATTACTTATGCTGGCAGACATTATCCTCGCCCCAATGATTGATGAGGATGAAAATCAATTTTATTTCTACATACGTAATTATATTTATTTATACATAAGGGTAACTTTAATAAACGTAATACAAAAATCAACAAGAAGTATAAGGGTTCAATCTTTCAATTTCAATTGTAAAAAAACGTTATCCCCACACTAGTATTTTCTCCTATGTCTTGGAGGCAGTTTACAAACATAAATTGCACAAGGACAAACATCCAGACCCGGAACAATTATTTGTAGGCCATACAAATACTTGTTCCGTGCGAGATTCGAACCCGCGGCCCCCAGCGCAACAACTGATTGCTAAGCCACTGCGCCACGGAGCCGTCGCCGGGTTATAGCTAAAGTGACCATACGTCCCGTTTTGAACGGGACTGTCCCTTTTCTCGGCCACCTGTCCCATTGTCCCCAAACAAAGCTCCGGGACACATAATTGTCCCGTAACTCGTTGGATGGAAGTATTCAAAGTCAACAATCTTCAACATAATTTTTTTTAATCGAATATATTTTATGTCTACCTGGTACGAATGCTCCGGTAGAAAGAGTATTTTTTTAATTTGAATAAATTGTGGACGTCTGAAAGAAACACTTACGGTTCCAGAGTTCTAAAGGCGATGTTGTTAACAAAGATAACAATAAAAAAACTTGAGCAGAATTTTATTTTTATTTAAAATCATCACCAACTTTATTAAAGCAAATTTAATTCACTGACGAATGTAATTAATAATTAAAAAAAATATGTTGCATTTAATAATTACCGTCTATACCGAATATAATTTTACAGTGAACACTAATTGTATAAAGTTATAGTTTTTAGAGTATAAATAAACCCATGTCCTGTTTTGAGTTAAAAAATAAATGGTAAAAAGTAGGTATATTAGTACCTACTTAGATACTTTTTACCGAATTATAAGTATAGAACACCTTATGTACTCAATTATTTTTTGAAAAAGAAGAAAAAACAAGCAATAAATAATATACTATATTTTAGCAAAAAACTATAACTTAGTAATACTAATTATAACTTAGAACATAAATGAAAAACTCATAACTGACTTTTTGGCCCGACCCAGGATTCGAACCCGGGACCTCATGATCAGCAGTCGCACTACTACAACCACTAGACCAACGAGGCAGTACTATACTTAATAAGATATTGTGGTTGGGTGATAATATTGAATTAGCCTTTTATAGTGTAAATTATAATATTTGTCGATATTTTAATTATGGATTCGAACCTTACATGCTAATGGTGCTTCATTTTATTATTTACATTTACTTCAAAGAAAATACACGCAAAAAGCTTCATCGCGCAGTAAAAAACACAACAAATATATGTATAACTAATACTAAAAATTATACCCAAAACAAACAAATAATACTACCTATAAATAACCTAATAAGTAATATTATTATCGACTGATATGACGTGAGTGTATGCGCTGGTCGACGCTCTAACGACACGGGCTTCACGTCGAAGAGCTCAGGGTTCACTGACTTCAGCAAGCCCGTGAGCAGTGAATATGCCCAGATTTTAAAATAATTTCTTAATAAAATCAAATTTTGGTCTTTTGAAAAAAATTTACTATAGAAATGTTTATTAATAAATTGCCTATCCATTGGTGTAAATCACAAAATATAATAATACTTACTTTACGAGGAGATGCATGTTATCAATAATAATTTCACATTTATGTGGTTTCGTTGTAAGGAGATTATATTAATATTTATTCCTTTAAAAAAAAATTGGATATAGCTTTTATGGGATCAAGATTATGTAGAAATATAATGTGTTTTTTATTTGTTGATATATCTTTTAAATAAAAAGTAGATAGCTCCTAAAAACCGCACAAATAACGACTAGCGCGACATTTTGCTCAACCTGCGCCTTAATCTGAATAACTTCGTAGGGGTTTAATGCCCTTGCTTCTGTAGTAGCCATAACGTAATCACACGGAAAATTAATAACGTGATTATTTGCGAGCTTCCGTTCAATCGCATTGTACACCTAATCACACTCCATTTGAGTGTGACCACGATCACGAAGCGCATTTGCCATAACAAAGTTCCAATTTTGGTATGTATAACATTTGGAATAAATAATTATTTGCATTTTTTCAGCAAGCAACGGCGTTCTTAGCAATCTAACACAAATGATGCGAAAGTACTTGCTGTAAGGTTTGCGGCAGTTTCTGTCAACCAACAACATGTGCAACGGCGTGGTGTCAAGTCAGAGTATAAAATTAAGGCATGTCAACTTTGTCTTAAAATAAAAAGCGCTTGTCGTGGAGTAAGGGCAAACTTTCACCGATTCTGAGTCCAGTGTTAATAAAACGCAATGTCCTAATGCTGCATCCTCTTTATCCTTCGCCTTCTCTTCCTTGGCTCTATTTTTTTCGATAATGTGCCCTAGTTAAATATGCTGATCAATATTACCTTCCTTGTGGCCAACACAAATATCACATATATCTTTTCTCAATGTATATAGTGCTGATTTATTAAGTTTAAATTCAATGTAATTGAACACTAAAACTTTCTTGTGAAACAAATATTTGATCAATAATTATATGGATAATTGACAATAAATAATT